GATTTCTGAGTTCAAGGCCAGCCTGGTCTACAGAGTGAGTTCCAGGACAGCCAGGACTATACAGAGAAACCCTGTCTCGAAAAAAACAAAAAACCAAAAACCAAAAAAAAAAAAAAAAAAAAAAAGAATACCAGTCAAATAAGAAACAGTGTATGAAAACATTCCAGATTAAGCAAGTATTAAAGAGGCATGACAACTACATACAGTATCTGGTCCTAGACACATCTTATATTTCAGGGTGGAAAAAAAGTCTGTAGAGAGCACTAATGGGTGAAGTAACAAACAAGAATACAGACTAAAGAATTTTATCAGTTAAATTTACTGACATTGGTAACTGTACTATAAAATATCTTATCCCTATAATACACATGCTAAATATTTACAGATAAAGGAGCACAATGTACAAAATTTATTATGTCAAATAGTGACTGAGAAAATTCATTTTCCTGTCACTCAAGAGTTTAAATTCACACAATATTAATGGCTCAATATTTTATGACCAACACTAGACTATATAACTTTTTAATTGTATCTCATGTCAAAAGATTACAAACAAATAAAACAAGAGGCAGAAAACTTGCAATATAATAAGGAGCATTAGCTGCAAAACTGTATTTGGCCCTCTTTTTTCTACATCATGTACTCTCCCTAACAACTGTTAGTCAGCCAATTACAAAACTCATAATAATCTAATCTTTGGGGAAATTTCCACTGATTTAAACATACCCACCCAGGCTAGGAGGTGTGCCAATTACTGACTTCATGCAAAGTTGGTTTACTCCCCTAAGTAAAATTTAACACTATCAACTAACTTTAGAGAGACAGCACAGAAAACTGTCTAAAAATCTAAACCCTAATAGAAGAATTTTGACCCTATATTCAGTATTCTGATTCTGACTCTGCTGTTCATTAACAATGTGGCCTTAAGCAAGCAGAATGTGATCTGAAATGGAAATATTTAAAAAAAATATTTAAGGATGGCTCAACAAATAAAAGCCCTTGCTGTTCTTACAGAGGACACAGGTTTGGTTCCCAGCACCCAAATGGCGGCTCAGAACTATCAGTAACTCTTATTTCAGGGATCTGATGCTCTTTTCCATCCCCCTCAGGCACTACACATGCACAGATCACAAACATACATTCAGGCATTCATATGCATAAATAGAATTTTAAAACCCTCAAGAATATTCTGTGACAATAAATTAAAATTATAACTCTGGCATGCAACAGGCACTCAATTAAGGTAAGTAAACGAAATATTTTTAAGCAGATAGGTGTTCTTTTATTAAATTTTTACCAAGATATAGGTAACTCCTGAAAGCACTGCGTTGGAAACAGTTGTATACTTCTACCATTCTCTCAGTAGTTCCTTAAGTGAGATCTAAAAGTTCCAGAGTAATTTTAAAACATATTTTTATTCATTTGGAGATGAAGGGGTGTGGATGTCATGCAGCTTTAGTTGAGATCTGAGGACAACTTGGGGAAGTGTCTTTTCAAGGTGGGTTCTGGAGATCAAAGTTGTCAGATTTGGCAGGAAGGAATTTTACCCACTAAGTACATATTTAAAGGTATATCAAAATACAGAGATTCAAATGCTGATGAAGTAAGGCATTACTTATCTATTACAATAATAAACTGTTCCAGGTACAATTTTTTTTTAAAGATTTATTTTATGTATGTGAGTACACTGTCACTATCTTCAGACACACCAGAAGAGGGCATCATTATAGACAGTTGTGAGCCACCATGTGGTTGCTGAGAACTGAACTCAGGACCTCTGGAAGAGCAGACTGTGCTCTTAACCACTGAGCCATCTCTCCGCCCCCCACCCCAGGTATAAATCTTATCTGGAGCCTTCAATAAATTTCATACCTGCATGTATGGTAGAGAGGAAATTTCAATATTGTCTGAATAGCCAATTATTAAGAAATCTTTATTAACAATTTAATTAAAAAAATTAATCTGGTAGCAGGCATCTGTAAACAAGCATTTGGGACGATGAAGCAGGGGGACTTAAGAGCCAATTTGAGCTTCCTTGCAAGACCCTGTTTTAAAATACAAAAATAAAATTCAAAAGAAAAAATTGGCAATTTTCACTAAAAACAGACAACTTTAAAAACAACTTGAAAGTTTAATTTTTAAAAGTATGGAAATAAAAATATAAAGACAATTCAGGGCTAGAACATGAGCAGAGTTTGATTTCGAAAGACTGAGAAATAATCAAAATATTTATATCCCAAGTAATCACTAAGCTCACATATGCCCTTGGAGCTATTGTTCCCTATTCTTGTCAATCCAAAACTTATTATTCCTGACTTTCATAGAAACAATGTGGCTATGAGTTTTAATTCTACACTTCACCTTCTCTCACCATTACTTCCACTGTTCTCTTCTGATTTTCTATATATTTTCCTCCCATTTTTATTTTCAACCGCAATCAATGGAACAAATTTAGAACAATTAAAACAATAAAAGGTTGGCTATAAATGAGAGCTTATTAACTTTAGTCACAGCAAATGTTTTGTTAATTAACTATCACATTTCAATATTCATTAGTTCCTTGAAAAAAAAAAAACAGCCAAGCTCTATTACTAGGTACCTATATTAGAAGCAGTGCTTCACTGTATATTATGGCATTTCATTAAGAAACTAAACAGACGCCAGCCTGATCTACAGAGTGAGTTCCAGGACAGCCCGGGCTACACAGAGAAACCCTGTCTCGGAAAAAAAAACAACAAAAAAAAAGAAACTAAACAGACTTATTACTTGAACCATCATCAATTGCAAGGAACAATGAATTAAGCATGAGAACCCGCCCAGGCTCTTGCACCTATAGGTTGAGTTCATATATTAAATACTGGAGCATCCAATACATACCAGTTACTCAGACACAAAGACTAACATAATTATTTAACTGCCACAAAGCAGGAGTCATGCCTAAAATCCTACCACTTGGGAGTTATCATCTTACCTCTGCCTCCAAATCCAAGGTCACCCTGATCTAATCTACACAATGAGTTCTAGGCTAGTCTATGCTACCTAGCAAGATTTTATAAGTAAATAATCAAGAAACTATTACACTAAATTCTGGTAAGTGCAATAAAAGTTATGGATGCAAAATATTTTCAGGTTTTATAGTTTTCAATTCTATTAATCTAAATTCCGTTTTTTAGTTAAAAGGAAGTATCCATAGGCTACAATTTTCTATCAGAAGATGTTACCTAGTCAAATTAAATTTTGGAAAAAGTAAAATTTGAAATAAATAATTTAAAAACATCTATATGCTGAAGGATAGGAGCATTCCATTGGATCTCCGTATATGAAAAGAAAGCTCAAACAAGTAGTACAAGGTTACAAACAAGGAAACAAAAGTTCAGAAAGACTAAAACAACTAAAGTCTCACACATAAGAGAAAATGAATTTGAATCCATAACTTCTGGTTCCAAAACCTATTGTCTGCCCATTAGACTCATCATTTCTGTTTATTACATAAAAACCAAAATTTCAGAGATCTTAAAACACTCTTACAACATCCAGAAAATGACTATGACAACCTTTTTTAGAATTAGAATTTATGGTAAAAGCACACTCCATAACAAATGCGAAAAAACTACAATGTATTCAATGTACAAGGTAATATATGTGTCATGAATAATTTGAAAACCAGTTAATCAAAACAAATAAAGGAGATTTTTGTAATTTCTTTCAACTGTTTTATCTTTACCCATAGTTTCCAACACAAATGACAAGTCGTGGAATGCACTTTAGATTCCACAAATATGAAAGCACATATTACAGAATATGGAAATATAAATCAAATTTTGTAAAGCAGAATGTAGCATGAGCCCATTAAATCTTAAGTGTATAATCATTAACATTTTGAAAAAATATAACTGCATTTTTCTGTGTTAACGTCCTTATATTAATTTTCCTTGTAATCTTTTTCCAGTATGTTATTTTAAATTTCTAAACTTAAGCAGTAAACACAACTCCCGTGAAAAACAAGTTAACCCTTCATACACAAAATGACGAGAGGGAGAATTTTATGTGAGTATGAACAATTTCAAAACTGGTTAGGAATGATGACTCCACATGGTCGGGTGGATCCTGGTAAGAAGCTTTTCTGCAGAACTTTTCTCAAACTGCCAAAGGGTAATTTTAATATTAAATAGCTCGAGGCTACAATCATTCTCAAGCTCAAAGATTTTGTAATACTGAGACTCCCTCATAGGCAATTACTTCAAACAACAAAGGATGTCTGAAACATCCCCGGGGATGAGAGTCAGTGGTAGACCTCTCTGCTCTTTCCCAAGCTAGGAACCACATCAACACAAGCATATATCCCCACATCAGTGTTCACGACTCCTCTAAGAATGTGGAAGTGTCACCGCCATTTTCGACGACATCCCAGGGCCGACAATCTCGGCTTCGGTGCTCACTGGAGCGTTTGCCCCACAACACCCCGCACACCCGGCTCCCGGCCCCCTGCAAGGATGCTCTTCCAGCCCGGCTAAGGGCGCACGCGGCCCACAGGGCTCCGAAAGGCGCTCCGGCACGCGACGGCCTCCCCGCTAGCTGTCAGGCCTGAGGAGCGGCAGACCCGCGGCGCTAAGGGGCAGCCAGACTCCCGGAGGGCGCCGCCCGCTCCTCCGCAAAGCAGCAGAATCAGGCGGCTGCGCCCAGCGACACTACGGCGCGACGGCGCGGTCAGCCAGTGGCGAGGGGAACAGGCCACGGCCGAAGCCCACCCGGGGTCCCTCAGCTCCGCCCGCCCCGCCGCCGCCATCTTGTACGCAGCGGCTGCGACACATACAATAGTCGACCGCGACCTCACAGGGACCGCTCGGGGCCTGCGCTAAGGACCTTTGCCTACCAGTCCCCGGCTCCCCGCAAGGCAGCGGCCCTACCTATGCCTACCGACTAACAGCTGGATCCCATCCGTGCCCCACACAGTTTAGTACTCGGCCTCCAGTCACGGCGACGAAGCAGCTACCGCCTCCATGGGGCTACACGCATGCGCATCTTCGCCTAAAGCCCTTGTCCGCTCACCGCGCCTGCGTGCCTCAGGCTCCGCGTTCTGTCGGGGGCAAGGCCGCTCTCTGACAGAAGGGGGCGATCGCCAGCTATGGCGGGCCCTAACACCTGCAATGGTCTGGGTAGCATCACTCAAGATTTTAGAACCTGCAAACCATACTGGTCTTGCTTGTCCTCTTCTCTTCCATGAAGCCTTCTCTGATTACTACTTCCTCAGTATCACAAAGCAACATTTACTTATTAGCATAATGATTTAAATATGCTGGTATTCTTGCCTTTACTGCTCACCTCTACCCCTTTTTAAACAAAAGGTCTGGAACACCCTATGAAGCTCTAGGCTGGTTTTGAACTCATATAGATCCCACCTGCTTCTGCCTTCCAACTGTTGGAATTATAGGCATGTGCCTCCACACCTGGATTTCTCTCCCCGCTCTTAAATGGGAAATAGGCCTCTCTGTGTTGTTACAGGCCTTTAATCTCAGCACTTGACAGGCAAGAGGCAAGCAGATATTTGTGAAAGAAACCAGCCTGGTCTACAGAGGATGTTCTAGGACAACCAAAGCTACACATCCCTGTCTCAAACAACACAAATAGATGGATGGATGGATGGATGGATGGATGGATGGATGGATGGATGGATGGATTACCTCTTCTGGTGTGTCTGAAGACAGCTACAGTGTACTCATACGTAAAATAAACAATTGTTGTTTTTTTTTTTAAAGTTTAAGTCAAAAGACTAATATTACCAGGCAGTGGTGGCACACCCCTTTAATCCCAGCAGTTGGGAGGCAGAGGCAGGCAGATTTCTGAGTTTGAAGCCAGCCTGGT